TTTTTTTTTGGTGAAAATATACATAGCCAAAGATACACCATTTCAAAAATTTGTACATGCACAGTTCAGTGACATCGATTACATTCTTCCAGTTGTGCTGCTATTCTCACTTTAGATGAAGGTTTACAGAACAAAATAGTTTCTCAATTTTTAGTGAAACTTTACTAATTTTTGCTATCTAGGGGCTAAGACTGGCCTCAAAAAAGAAACAAAAGTAAAGTTCTAGTAAATTAAACTAAACATTTCACTAGTCATAGCAACAAGGTGATTTTCAGTACCCTTGGAGAGAGCAGTTTCATTGGAGTGATAAGGCAGAAGTCAGATTCCAAAAGGACTGAACAGAGTAGGAGGCAAGGAACAGAAAAAAATGAGCGCTGAAAATCCTTTAGTTTATCTCTAAAGGGCAGGAGAGAGCCTTAAACTTAGGAAGGCTGAAAGGGAGACATGGAGTTAGAGAAGCACTGTTTTAAGATGAGGCAGACTTGGGCAGGCTTACCTGCTGATGAAGAGAAGCCAGTAGAAAAGATGACCTTGAAGAATCAGTAGAAGGGTCTACTGTTAATTCAGGGTTGGGGTTTTGCCACGCTAGGGTAAGACAGAATGACATGGGGAAAAGGGAGATGAGATTATTGACTTCACTTCAAAAGGCTGAAGTGATGGTCCATGGTGTCCAAGCTATATAGGAAAAGAAGTAAAGATGGGAGATGGTGGACTGATAGAAAGTAGAGGGAGCAGAGACTGGAGGTCCCTATGAAGTCCAAGAATTAACTGTAGTCAGAAGGTTAGGAGTTGGAGTAAGTCAGATAGTAAGCTATTGAACTTAGTATTTTACAGATGACTAGGTCCAGGATGTAGCCATGGGAGTTGGTGGCTAAAGCAGAGTAGAGAAAAATGTCATTGGAGATGAGGTGGTCAGGGAACTAAAAGGTCAGAGAATTTGGTGGGTAATTCAAATGGATGCTAAAGTCAAACAAGATAATGGCAAAACTTGGGGTAGAGAAGATGACAGTGAAGCAGATATTAAAGTCTTCAATGAATGAGGGGGAATGACCACAATGAGGTCAGCAGATGATGGCAAGGAGGAAGAGTTCAGACAGCATGAACCTCAAATAAGCAGTTTTTACAAAAAAGCAGAGAGTAATGGCCTAAAAGTGGTACAGGGTAGCCAGAGGATGGATGTCATACCACATTGCTCATGGGGTATGCAGGCTATGAGAAAATGAGCAGCCGCCATTTGAGTGGGATGAAAGGGAATGAATGCCTTCAGGAAGACTAGTGGACATAGAAGAAGTAGGGTGGGATGGTGGATCTAAGAAATGTTTGAGAGGGGAAGGAAATAGAGTGGAGTTACATTAACACACATTTAAGTAAAATAAATTCAACTATACACTCCAGGGAAAACAAAAATCTCTTTTTTTTTTCATATAACATGCTCCCAAATACAAATGAATTACTTCATCTGTTGTTTGTTGAAGAACAACAATGCTAAAGAAAAAAAAATGACTATGTTAGATTTATTGAGGGATTTTTTTTTTAAGGGTTTGACTATACATGGTGACTTTAGAACCTAACCACTGCGTAAGATGTATCTCCTTGGAGGGGTGGGTGGATTGGATAAGACTTCTAGCAGGTTCCAGGGGTACATAAGGGTTTGTGGCCTGGTCTTGGGTTGATCAGGGCAACTGAGACAGCCTTGGAGTAAACAACCTGGTCTGCAGGCACATTTTTGGCAGTACGTTCTGAAATTATTCAACTTAATGCATATAAAGGCTGATTCATAATTGGTTTGAAGTTGTGAAGAAAGACAAAATAAAAAAAAAAAAGAACAGCCATCATCACTTACAAGGAGAGAGGTAGTCATGTGAAGAATGTAAAAGATTAGGTTTCTCAATTTACATTAAGATAAAGTGACACAAGTTAGAAAAATGTATTTGTTTACTTAGGATACATGAGTTCAGTTAATGTCATGCACAGGTCCCATTAAAGTTGTGTAATGAGATTATATAACCTTACAAGTGCACTTCGTTCTCATTAGCTAAAACCTATGTTTTATAAGATTCAGTCCCCTTTTTTTCAGCTAAGCACATCCACAAGTCTATAATGTCCTCCAAATAAAGCAGTGGTTAGACAAAAATACTTGATTACATTAAATACCACAAATTCTTTCTACTGGTTTCCAAATTAGATATGCTATGTCTGTAACAATTAATGGTTTTCTTTCATGTGTTCATAAGGTTTCATATTTTAAATAAAAAGGCATGCAGAACCTTTGATAACTATTTCTAGATAGTTACACTTTTTCTGATTAGATAGTCTATCTCCATAACTGCTTACTGTTCAATTTTTTTAAATAGAGCATATATGTTGGAAAAGACTTGTGCTTTCAGTTTGAGTAGAAGAATTTTTCCAACTGGCTAAAATAAATTATATAAATTGTTTCCTTTGACAACACACAACTCTAGTTCTGTGATCTACTGAAAGCTCCTTTTCAGAAATTTATTTTTCTCCACCCTAGTACTAGTCATACTAGTACTACACATAATCCACTTCAGATTGTTTTATGAGCTCAAGGCTAGCCAATCTTTCTACTTTTGCAGGATCTTTTGTATTTTCTCCTCTCGACTACTACTACCAGTGGTAAAAAATCTCAAACTGGGCTACTTAATGAGGTTACCAAACTATATTCTTTTGGGTTTTCTCAACCATCCCTTTCATCCATTTCATTCACTGACTACAGTACCATGTAAATCTTAACTTCCAAAAGTTAAGATTTTTCCACAGTTCTCATCACCCATCCAAAACTCACTGCCGTCGAGTCTAACTCGAAGAGAGTCTATAGGATAGAGAAGAATGGCCCCATAGGGTTTCCAAGGCTGTAAATCTTTACAGAAGCAGACTGCCACATCTCTCTCCCTTGGGGTGGCTGGTGGATTCAAACCACCGACCTTTCAGTTAGTAGCTAACTGCTTTAACCACTGTACCACCAGGGCTCCTTGGGATCACCACCCATAGGATCTGCTATAAAACCCATAGGATCAGCTATAAAACCTTTCTTTCGACATTTACAGCCCCATCTCCACAACTGGTTCCTTATTTATCCAACTCATCTCTCACTACTACTTTTTTTTTTTTTAATTTTATTTATTTTCTTGTTGTTGAGAATATACACAGCAAAACATATATCGATTCAACAGTTTCTACATGTACAATTCAGTGACATTGATTATATTCTTTGAATGATTACATGCAACCATTCTCATCCTCCTTTTCTGAGTTCCTCCCCATTAACATAAACTTACTGCCTCTTATTTCACTACTTCTTAATGCAAAGCCTCCATTAGTCAATGTAATGTCATTGTCACACCAGACAAACACCATGTTCATAATCACTACTTCTACATGCTGATTATACCATCTTCCCCTAACTTCTTGAAACCTCTCCTATCTTATCCAAATCTTGCCTACTACTTCAGGTTTATTCAGGCACCACTTCCTCCACCAAATCTTCAGTCTCCATAGTTGATTTCCCCTTCTCTGAATGACTATGGTTCTTTGTTCCCCAATAGTGTAGGCTCAATAAATTCTAAGTTCCTTGAAGGCACCATTTTATAACCCACAGTCCGAGCACAGTGCTGAGCAAGTAACACATCAATGACTGTCAAAGGCTTTCAGGTACACTAAAAATGTATTTTGTAACACATAGCACGTTATATCTAATTGTTATCAGCTAATCCATTTATTTTTATATCTATTTTTTTTTAGTTTTTATCTATTCTGAATATTTATAAATCAGGTTACTATTAGGGTATTTTAAGTCTATTGAACAGGTATACAAGGACCAAAAAAGTTCTAGTCCAGTGGGCAGAGCAAAAAATTCGGATAAAATATTTATTAAATTATTTGAAGAAGAGAGTTCAACACAGAAATTTTAGTCCATTTCTGCTATTCATTTGCATAAGTATTTAAACATTACATCTTTACGTATAAATTGGCAATGCTTTTCTTTTGTTACCAATCTGAAGATGGTTTTTTGACTCTCAAACAAATACATATGACAGCAGTGACCTGTATTAACTAAAATTAGTTTTATAATCATTATATCAACTATTGAGTTTTAATTAATTAATGCTTATAAATAAGGCTCTTGGGTGAGGAGGGAATCCCACTATGAGGAGTTATTATATAGCTTTGAAGACCTAACAGACAAAATTAGCCACCCACTGTGGCTCCTATTTTGATTCCTGCAGGGTTTCAATTCCTAGCAAAGAACACAAAGACCCAGATAAGATCATTCCATTATTTAATGGCATATAGTTAAATACTTCATTTCCTTTCTGTTTACAGCTCAAGCACTAGAGCATAATTATGATTAGTCAGGGTACTTATGCTATCAGCATTGTTTGAAGAATAAATTATAGGACTTAACTATGCCCTATTAGTATCTTTTAAAGACAGAGGCAGGGAACCATTCTGATTTGCTGAAATCAACATTTCACCTTGGTAGATTCCTAGTTTCTCCTCACACTCAGATTTCTTAAAGTATCTTTGAAAAGAATTGTTCTAAAAAACAGTGAGTTTCTTTTTTAATCTGTAATAATTCACTGTTGTATTCTGTGGCTTGAGTACAGATAATTTTAATGCAATTTCATAGACTGTTCCATTTGTCATAGTATAGAGATAAAGGAAATAAACTTAACCGCTGCCTCCTTGCCAGAATTTCCTGAGTCACCTGTAAGCTGGACGGTGAAACAGTCTTAAAAAAAGGGCATTTCTCATAGCCCACAATGCTCACTTATGAACCAGTGAGCAAGACTTCCTGGAAGAGGCCATGAACACACAGAAAGGAAGAGTCTGCACTCGACAGTCTTCTCTGTTCCCCTGTACAAGTTAGGAGGCAGATGGGCATGGACAGCAGTAATAAATGACTTCATCAGGGAGCACGGTCCTTAAAGTTCTGTACCATGCCTGCCAATCTGCAGGAATCTGAGGAAGGACTTCTGTCTGTACTGTTGGTTTTGGGTAAAGTTATTGTCTGCAACCTAATGTTACAAGAGCTCTTATATTATTTGTGATTAAAAATAATAAATAAAAATTACAACTCAAAATCTATAAACATAATCATTACGGAAATTGGGCTAGCACACAGCTGGGAACATGATTACCAGATTCACTGAGTTAATGTGGGACATAAGAAAAGCAGTGATGGAAATGGCTGATTATGCTTCTTATTTGGAGCTTCTGCCTCATTATAAAAATGGATTAATTAATCTAGTAGGTATTGTCTCATTGTTACTCATTTTATGGAATATTTTTAGAATAATGTAAAGGGGGGGGAAAAAAACAACTTTTTGACTCTCTCTGAAGCTAATGTATTACAAGTCCTGGCTGGGTCTCCTGAAGATTAAATAAATGGGCATGTTATATAATTGTGTGGCATAAGAGAATGCTCAGGATTTAGAACTCTTACTCTGTCACCTGTTAGCTATGTGACCTAGGACAAGACAATTAAACCTCTATAAGCCTGTCTCCTTATTTGAACATGAGACTAATAATATCTGCCCTACCTCAATGAGATAAGTATATAAGAAAGTACTCTGCAAAGTATAAAGTTACAAATGTTAGTTCTATTTAGTTATATTAACTAATCAATGATAGCATGAAACTGTATACTGATAGTTTATGCCTAAATTAAGATATAACAATATTTATTAAATATTTAACACTATGGTATCCAGCCACTTCTAAGGTCCTTATAACATAAATAGCTTGACAAATCTACGTTACTAATGCTCCGGAAGAGATGGGTAAACACATCAACTCCTTGCTCTTTTAGTTCTCAAGTCTTTATTAAAATGCTTGGTTTATTTTAAAATTCAGTAATCTTAAAGGAACACATATCTAGTTTCTGCCTATCTGCAGCTTAGATATCTAAAAGCCCAGTTTTTCCTCTCTCTTAAACCTCCTGCTTTACTCAGTTATTTGATTTCTTAGGTGTAGCTCTATTTCTGGTAAGCAAGATGGAGAAGGGCAGAAGGAGGTGAAAGATGAAAAATATAGTCCACTAGAATTTTTTTGGTGTCAGTAGTGAACTAACTTGGGGAGATAAGGCAAGGGGTTAAAGCTACTGGACAAGAAAACTGAAACTTGATGGTAGATTTCAATTGTATATTTCAATAAGTTCCATTCAAGTCTCTGTTCAGAAGACATATCATAGAGAGGCCTTCACTGACTATCCTATCTCAAATAGCACCCTCACTCCTATCCTGCTACATCACTTTATTTATTTTTCATGGCCCTTGCCACCACCTGATATATTTATTTTTATTTTATTATTTATTTTCCCATTAAAATGTAAGTTCCATATGTGCAAGAACTTTTTTTCATAGGTGTATTCCCGGCAGCTAGTACAGTCACTGGCCCATAAAAGGTCCCTCTGAGTGAATGAATGAATATACCCATAATATTCAGGTCCTTATATTATGATACATTAACAAAACAAAAGAAGCTTTAATTAAAAATATAAAAAAGCAGTGAATAGGTATATATTTTCTTGGTGGAAGAGTGTTCTGAAAAATAGAATAGGCTTCCTTTTCAGACATTCCAACATCCCAATTGGTATGGTTACTGTTTCATCAGGAAAACATACACACATAGAAACATAAAATTAGTCTGCTTAAAGAATTGGAAAGGTAAACAAGGAAAAGTTAGAAAGTCAAAACAGTCCTCATCGTTTTTGCTCTTAAACAAGAAATTAACTTCAGTTAAAATGCATTAAAATTTTGAATAAACAGTTCAAAAACAATTTTATATAAAAAAAGCCATATATATATATATATATACATATATACATACCAGAAAATAAGAAAAATGAAGGAAAAATTACTCATAAGCTTCCACTCTTAACATTTAATAGTGACTATGTTTATATAAGGTCCCTGGGTAGTACTAATGATTTGCTCTCAGCTATGGATCCATCTAGCAGTGCCACAGAAGAAAGTCCTGGTGATCTACTTCCATAAGATTGCAGACCTTGAAAAATCTATGGAGTGCTGTTCAACTCTGAAACACTTGGAGTCACTATGAGTCTGAATCAACTCAACAGCAATGGGTTTGATTTTTTAAAGTATTTTTTTGATATAGACATATACCTATCTTTTTTACACAATTTAAATCAGAATCTGATCCCTTCTAGAAATTAAAATTTTATATGTGATTATTGAGAAGAAAACGAATGCTACTAGAAAAACTATTCACAAAGTTTATTACGACATGACCATTTATTCTAGCTATATATCTGAAGGATCCTCAAACCCTGAAATTTAGAAAAAATTCATCCCAATTGAGACATATTTAAGAAAAAGAATATGGAAGATTTCTTAGATATGAAAGAGTATAAATAAGTCACTAACCAAATCTTAAGTAAATTAAAGGCTTAAATTATGTTATCTCTTAAAACACAAGTTCTAAGAACTTGAAAAATAAAAAGTATGTTAAAAATAACTTACCTATAGGATATCCCAATGCAAAATCATTACTTTGTGTAGCAAAAATAGGGAAAAGTCCAGCTTTGCTAAATCGACTATTAGGACTGGCAACCAATAAAGTTAATACACAGACAATGACAAATACAGTAGCTTTGGCAATCAAGATACTATATAGGAAAGACCAATCCACATTGGAAAAATTAAGTACAACCATGTTTTTGAATAATAAAGCTGGAAGTGCAAATCTGGAGACAAAATTTCCTAATCCTTTGGCCTGTGTTGATGTTATGACATTGGCTCTTCCTGCTATGTAGCCACAAAGGACTATGCCAAAGCATTCTAGTAAGGCTGGAAAAAGCCTTGTTACTGACATTGAAGGTGGGTCACTAGTGGAATTCAATCCATGCACTTCTGTTTCAGGCAAACTCGTGGACATATTGACTGCTATGGTGACGTTCTCTACAGGTAAATCAGAAAAGGAATTCATTTTCTCTCACTCTCCAACTCCAGCCAAATCTCTGGAAAGAAAAAAGCAAAGATTCAGTGTGACAATCAGTAAGAAGAATTCTAGCTGAAATGATACATTGGCATACCTAGACTTACTAACTTATTATACAGCCAAAATAAATATACATACTTACTTCAGCTACTACCAGGGAAAAATACAATGCAAAAGAAAAAAAAGAACGGGTTGCTAACAATAACTTTACTTTCAAAGGTGGATCAGTTCAAAATAAAGTTCCTGTCACTGTTCTATATTCAGTATAAGTCATGAGTAAAATAAGCTCCACAAATATTAGTAGCTGCAGTGATGGCCCGTTGTCCTCTCCAGTCATCCACGATTGAGCTCCATGTAATGAATAAGAGCATGGGGCCCACTGAGTCTCTGTTGAATGGCTACCTGTGTCCAAATTCTCTGGAAATTCTAGAAGTGTCCAGGCTACCTAGCACACTGGGACCAGAGGGTCCTTCCCAGCCTTGGTCACACTTGAGTATGGGACAGGAGGAAGAGTACACTAGAGTACCACTTAGCAACTCTGAACCAGGAACTTAACTTTTCTGTGCCTCATATTCCTCATCTATGAAATGGTGATAATCAAAGGAACTTGAGAGTATTCAAGTAAAATCCTTAGAATCACATTTAGCACAGAGTAATCACTTAATAAGAGTTAACTATAACTTTGGATAGAATATAAATAGAGTATGAAAGAAGGAATGACAGCATCCCACCAACCTACCCTTAGTTCCTTTTATACCAGCCACACACACTGGCCTTCCTAAATGCCCCATAGTTCGCTTGTGACACCGGGACTTTGCACATGCCCTTCACTCTAGAATGTTTTCTACACACTCGCCCACCACTGTTCACATAGTTAATACCCATTCATCCTCCAAGTCATGTAGTTTAGGAGCCACTTCCTCAGGTAAGGCTTCTCTGACCACATATCGTCAAGGCCAGGATTCTTTTTCAAATAGAATCATGCTCCTTTCCTTTAGGCTACTTTTCTCAGTTTGTAGTTATCGTATGCATTTCAGGGACACACTATCCAGTAAGAAAGGTATGCACGGGCTTACTTGTGCTTACTTACTAATCTGTAGTGCACAATTTCACCTGTTTTTCACCACATCAAAGCCCAGTGGCTAGCACAGTACCTGGCACATAGGAGACACTAAAAAAATTTTTTTTTCTTAAATAAGCCTTTTGCCCTTTAACGGATCAATATTCTCTATTAGTTACTATGAAGTACATGGCAGAATTTTTTTTTTCTGAATGATAAACTATTCTAAGTTTTTTATTATAGCAACATGCTCAAGAACACAAAATGTGTTCTAAAGATGTTCGTAAAATGTTAAAGAACACAAAACATGTTGTAAAATGTTCTAAAGATGTTCAGAAAATGTTAAAGTAAGGAACAAAGTCTTTATGCTAACATTACGATAATTATCAGACTCCCTTTTTGCTGCCAAGGACACAATGAACGTAAGGTTTGGACAACTCTGCAACAATTCAGCTTTTATTAATAACTTAAAATTAATATGGTGATAATTGCCAATTGCTCAGTGATTGCTCTGGGCTAACCATCTAAAGTAGCCTTATATAAGGTAGAAAGTAAAAAAGCTCATGTTTCCTGAAATTCACAACGCCTAGATTAAGTTCTAGAACACCCACATCACATTTGAAAGACTTAGATTGCAGGCCAGAGACCAGTAACAACTGATACGTGGGGGTGTGTCAGAGAGAATTTTCTCTGTGCTACCCTGATATAAACATAACCATTTAAAAACCTCACATTAATCTAGATTAGGGCAAGTAATTGTCTACCAGGATTAGATAGGAGTAGTCAATACACGAAACCTACAATAGTCACATACTTGAAGTTTACCAAATAAGAATCAAATTATATCCTGGGAAAGTTACTTGTTGGGACAAGTACACATACTTGAAGTAAGAAACTGATAAACAAACAAAGGTGTTAAATATTTGGATCCCGTAAGAGATGTGGATGTCAAAGGGCCCCGCTAAAGAGTAAGATGATAAACTAGAAGGGCCTTCCTAAATTTTTAAAAGTTGACTATGTTTCTTTGCCTGTAATGCTAATAACTCATATTACTCACAATCTTTTATTTGTACTACACTAGTGTATCAATGTGTTCCATTAATTTTTTCTGAAGGTGATGGTCAAATAGTTGTAGCAATGCCCAGGACTAATTTTCAAGTATTCAAATTTAAGAGGAAAACTTTGCAAGTAATCTGCCCCTTCCCATGAGGTTTCTTTTGATGTTTTTCAGTATGGTGCAATTGGTTAAGTACTCAGCTGCTAACTGAAAGGTTGGGAGTTCGAACCCACCCAGTGGCACCGCGGAAGAAAGACCTGACGATCTGCTTCCGTAAAGATCACAGCCAAGAAAACCCTGTGGGGCAGTTCTTCGCTGTCACACGGTTTCACTATGATTCTAAAATTGACTTGACAGCACCCAACAACAACAACAACCTGCTAATTGAAGTCAAAATAAATAATCCAAAAGGATTTATAAAGTTTTATCTCATCCTAATCTTTTTTAAAGGGGAAGAAAATATGCTTTCTTAAGCATTCTTCTGAAATGAACAGGAACCACATCATGGGAAGTGTAAAAAAAATTACATCTTATTATATCTTTTCATCTTAGTAAAAACAAGGCCTGTTAGAGAACAAATAAGTTGACCTGTCACAGTAAAAGACCTCTCACTGGGGCAGGAACTGGAGAAATGCTAAATACAAACCGCTTCTGGACATGTCAGATTTGGTTTGGATGACACCAGCGAACCACTGAAATTGTAAATAACTGCAATTATTAAGTGAAAATGGGAAAGTGGGTACGTTTTTTATTTACTTCAAAGAGCTTTGAACTCAGGCCATCTGCTTCTCAACTGCCCAATATCCTCTATCAGGTTGCAAAAGCATAATATAGAGTGGCACTATTAGAGCAGTCTTCAACATCAGCAGCACACCATCCCACCCACTCCCATCTACTTTCAGGGGACCAAATGTCCTCCCTAGAAACCCTGGGTGGGGAGTGATGAGCATTGCCTCCTTCCTTGTCATAAGGAACAGACTTTGGCCCTCCAAGATAAGGGATGGAGAGAGTCTCTAATCAAACAGGCTGTCCAGAGAGCAGTTGCCACCCAACGCCTGGGGAGCCAGCAGTGGGAGTTGAAATACAGCCTGGGATCCGTGCCTAGGATGAGGAAAAACATGGTCGCTCAGTGTTCCCCCGGTTACTGATTTGCTTCAAAAAGAGTTAGGGGTGAAAATTTGGCGCAACGCTCCAGGTACGTGGGCCAGCAGGGGCGAATACTGAGGCCATCCTCGAGATACAGAGAAGAGCCCCCAGAATGACAGGGTAGACGCACGTGCAGTGAGGTGCCCCCCAAACTGGGGGTGGCAGTGCTGTCACCGGTGAGAATAAGCCTCCCATTCCCTGTGTAAGCCTTCCCGGGTGGCTCCGCACTTTCAAAGGCGGGCGCTGCGGGACTGAGACGAGCAGGCTCAGGCAGTAGGCCTCGGGGAAGGGTACTGCTCACATGCCCGGACCCAAGAATCGGGGTCGGGGACACGGGATGCCCACAAAGCCGAGCCAGGACCTCGCAGGTCCGCGTCCCGGGGGACCATCTCACCTGCCACTTCTGCAGCCCCGGGGCTGCGAGGAGGAGGGAGCCGATGCTCGCAGATAGTCATTCAGGGAGGAAACCCCCGTCATCTCCCGTCTCCCAGCCCTCCTCGCCTTGCACTGCCGGAGGCCAGCTGCAGCAGCCCAGAAACGCTAGGATAAAGTCAAGGTCCAGAAAGCCGCGGCCTGCTCAGCTCCTCCTCTTCGCCGGCCGCGCGGCCCCGCCCTGGCTCCACCCTGGCTCCGCCCTCAGGCCTCGCCCACTACTGGGAGCCGCCGGCAGCTTGGCCTCGGGCCCCGGCCCCGCCCTCAGGCCCCGCCCACGATCGCAAGCCGCGAGCCCCTGGCCGGCCGGCTCCTACAAAATGGCGGCAGTCGGCTGTGGGGGTGAAGTCTTTCTTGCTCTCTTCTCCAGAAACTCAGATGCGGAGGCCTCTCGTTTTTTCCCTCAACCCCAGCCTTGTGTGATCCGCCAGTTCCTCTCATGGTCAGCCTAGTCCTTTTTATAGTATAAAGCTTAAAAGTAAAGATTTGGAGTCAGTCCTGAGTCAGAATCTTGCCTCCCGCCTTTCTCAAGACACTGTGACCTTGACCTGTTTCCTAAATCAAACGAGATTAAAACGTCTGTAAAGCTCTAGCACTGTGCTTGATTTAGAATAAGCGCTCAATCCATGGCCGCTTGCATTTCTGTTGTGGCGAAAACTACATGCATATCCACTCAGTGTACTGAGAGGAAACTGGTTATATTGGTGGAAAGCTATCAGAGCTCCTTGAAATTAAAACCAGAAAAAACAAAAACAAAAAAACCAGTTGCGTGGAGCTGATTCCGACTCCAGCCTGTGACCTTTAGGAAACAGATTGCCAGGCCTTTCTTCTGAGGCATCTCTGGGTGGGTTTGAATTGTCAACCTTTTGGTTAGTAGTGGAGCGCTTACCTTGAAATGACCAAAAAAAACCCAAACCCGTTGACATCCAGGCGATTCCGACTCATAGCGACCCTATAGGGCAGAGTAGAACTGCCCTATAGAGTTTCCAAGGAGCGCCTGGTGGATTGGAACTGCTGACCTTTTGGTTAGCAACGGTAGCATATAATCACTACACTACCAGGGTTTCCCCTTGAAATGAAGGGGTCCCTAAATATACTGCTTCACTTTAAACTCCCCCCAAAACCCTATAGTTGAATTAGTCTTGTGGGATCAAAATTATTTCAAATTTAAAAATATTTATAACCTAATCCCATTTAATATCTCTACAAACATCTTTGGAAAACTTCATGTTGCTCTGCATCTAACTTTTCTTTCTGGCAGTTTCATTGTGCTCCTATCATCTTGGCAGTTGTAGAGCAACTATACAAAATTACGTGACTTATTTTGAGAAATCAAAGCCAAGGGGAGGTTAAAGAATCTAGAACTAAGCAGGAGGAAAAGGGGCAGAAATTGAAACTGCAGAAAAGGCATATATTCTGTTCCTGTTGTCCTTCCCCTTTTCTGTTCTCTTTCTTCTTCACTCTTAACTGTCCTCCGTCTTTCCCTGGATGCTTTTTTGTTGGTTTATTTATCTTCTGAATATGATATCTCAAGGCTAAAAGAGCTTCTGTTTAGAAAGTATGAAGATTAATTCAAGTAAATAAATATTTATTGAGCATTGGCAATTAGGGGAATACTGGAAGACAGGTCTGGAAAGGTAAGTTAGGGTCAAACTCTAGGAGGGTCCTTGGGTTAGTCTCTTAGAATATGGGCCTTATCCTTTGACCACAGTATAAAACCACTAAATATTTCTTCACAAGAACATGTCATAATGATCACACTATTTTTGGAAATGTATTCTGGAAGCTTTCCTGGGGTTGGTTGAAAGGGAGACTGAGGACAAGAAAAACAGTATGGTGACTTTGAGAAAAACCAAGACATGAGGGAATGAAGACCTAGGCTGGGGTGATGACAGTGAAAAGAATGAAATAGGCCTGAGACGTTACAGAAGGTGAACTAATAGGACTCCATAACTGGTAGCATTAAATGAGAAGAAGGGGTTGGTGAACCTATCTATTTCCTCATCCATTGCAATAAAGAAAAGGAATTGAGCTAGAGAAACTTCAACATTTTTTTCAGCTCCAAAATTCCATTATTTTCTATTACCCGAAGATGAAAGAAAGAAATAGCACAATGGGGGAAGCAGCAGTTACAAGGTAATGAATTTGGTTTTAGACCTAAAATCTAAAACCTTGGGAAATTATCTAGTTCAGTCACCTCTCTTGAAGTTATTATCATCCTCTCCATCTGATGTCCTGGGAGGTTAAGAGATTTGTCTAAGAACACCCAGCTAGTTGGTGAGAGAGAATAAGAATAAAAGTGCTCACTGTCCTGTAGATGAACTGCTCATACATGGATCAGTACATCCAAACAGAGGCTTCTGGTAGACACCTAGAGAGAAAGCAGAAGCTCAGGAGAGAGAAGGACCAGAACTAAAGATGTGGTTTAAAGTGACATCTGTATAGCGTAGATGAGTTTTCTGAGAAGAGCAGTTTGTGGAGGGAAACTCTAGCAACAAATTACATACAAAGATGAAAGACTTACATTGAAAAGTTATCCTTAGACAAGCAATTACCTATGAATGTCATAAAAAAGTATTTAAGTCTACTATCATATCTGCTGATCATTCTGTGGTGCTAACCTATACTATGCTATTAACCAAAAAAAAAAAAAAAAGAAGAAAAGCTAAACTTTATACGAACTAGTGGAGGAAAAACAGAATATTAATCTTAACTCCATTTACAAATAAATAGGGCCTTTACCCTTCAAACTTACCAAGATCCCCATTTCCCTAGATTCTAGCTGTTGAAGACTGAGAGGAGGAATCAATCAAGGGCTTGATACAATGACAAGGGTCATGTAGAGTATAATGTTGAGGAAATATGATGTATATGTAGATTTCTGGTGAAGTTTACTTCTTCCAAAATGAAATAGTTGTAATTTTTTTCTGATTATGAAAGTAATAAATAACAATGATAAACTAATACAGAAAGGAATGAACAAAGTAACAATCACAATGCCTTCTGTTAATATTTTACTATATATACGTCATTTTTATATGCCTAGATTATTTAAGAAAAATAGGATCGTATTATACACATGAGTTTTATACAAAAGGTTTTTAGTAACCTCCCTTTTCATTTAATAATTTATCTTCAATATTCTTTATTCATAAGTATAGCTCTACATCATCATTTTTACTGCATATCTAGCTTTAGGATTCCCTAGTGTAATTTTGAAGATGTTCTTCTTTAAAATAAGGTAGAAACCCTGGACCATCTATAAAGTCAAATCAAAGATGAATAAAGAAGAGAAGGAGAAAAGGGTACAAGCATTTAGAGTGACTTAGAATGTATTGTTTGAGTATGTCTAATATGATTTCAGATTTCTTAAAAAACATTTAAAGACTCCTTTTCCCCTTTCCAACAGCACCAGTTTCTCTTTAGGAATCCATATGCTTCCAGAGAAGTTGACTTCATGGGCCTCCAGGGGTGATGTAACTAACCTAGGCTGCCCAGTGAGCACATTCCATCCCTTTGGACTCGGTGATTAATACAGAAAGGACATCGATCCTAAGGTAGTTCAATAGAATGACTCTCAGGACTTTTGCTGAGAATGCTGATACTCTCCTCCTGGACAAGAGGAAGATGCTGGCAGTCAACTTGGGATCATGAGAGGTACCAGTCTTAGAATGATGCAGGCACCAAGGAAGGCACAGCAGAAAGAAGGAAATAAACAGGGTCCTCGATGACATCATTGAGCTGTGGAATCTAGCTCCACCTGAAGCCAGTCTGCCCGTGGACTTCTCATTCATGTGAGCCAATCAATTTTCTTTATTGTTTAAACGCGTTGAGTTGGGTTTTTTTGTTACTTGAAGTCAAACACATAGAAAAAATTCTAGAAGAAAATGCCGACAGTGATTATCTCTGAGTGGTACAAATACACATGATTTTAATGTTTTTCTATATAGAAAAGTTCCCAAAATTTCTACAAAAAATGTGTATCAATTTTATCAGGAAAAAGTGTGAGATAATTCACAAAATATGTATTTTGGTTATAAGAAAATGGTGAACAATACCTAATAGCAAATACTTTTCTAAAACAAATTTAAAAACCAGTACTATGTATTGATATACAGGTAAGTATACAAATCTAACTATAAAATAAAAATTTAAGAGCACTGATACAGTGCAGTATATGAACTTCTAGAAGATGAAGGCCTTGTTTTTGTTAATCTTTGTATCCTCAGCACTTACAATAGTGCTTACCTGGTCATATGGTAGGTGTTCCACAAAGTTTTTGAATAATTGAATAAAACATAATTGCTTATCAGCCATTCAGAATGTTGAAGTATACTTCTATTCAATGGGAGCAATTTGATAAAAGCAACTGTGGTATAGCTCTTTTACAATAGCTAGATTTCTTATTTTACTTTGCCCAGGCAAATCGTCTTATTTAAATACTCCTCCCAATTTTTGGCTTCTTCTTGTTATTTTACATCTTCCCTATCTGGGTTGATATCTGGTTGCTCTGTCCTGTGTTCTAGTCTTGGGTTGTTATCTGATATTATTGATTTTCTAACTGGAGGACTCCCTTTAGTATTTCTTGTAATTTTGGTTTTGTTTTTGCAAATACCCTAAACTTCTGTTTATCTGGAAATGCCCTAATTTTGCCATCATATTTGAGAGACAGTTTTGCTGGATATATAATTCTTGACTGGCAATTCTTTTCCTTCAAGGCTTTAAATATGTTATCCCATTGCCTTCTTGCCTGCATAGTTTCTGCTGAGTAGTCCGAGCTTAGTCTTACTGACTCTCCTTTGTAGATGACTTTTCATTTAACCCTAGCCTCTTAAAATTCTCTCTTTTATCTTTGGTTTTGGCAAATCTGATTATAATATGTCTTAGTGACTTTCTTTTGGGATCTACCTTGTGTGGGGTTCGATGAGCATCTTGGATAGATATCTTCTCATCTTTCACGATATCAGGGAAGTTTTCTGCCAACAAATCTTCGACAATTCTCTCTGTATTTTCTGTTATCCCTCCCACCCCGCCCCGTTCTGGTACTCCAATCACTCGTAATTTATTCCTCTTGATAGAGTCCCACATAATTCTTAGGGTTTCTTCATTTTTTAAGGTTCTT